CATTTTTTATCAACTTATGCAATTATAAATCGACAAGAATAATTTACTATTAAAACAACAATAAAATAAGATCCGGCGAGAAACTCAGTGGGCTAACTTTCAATGAATCTGCTACATTGTGAGTATTCTATTTTGACCGCGCACTCACTAGAGGGCGCCTCACATGGGATAGAGACACGCCTTTGGATGCTAGTTCTAACTCTCATTCGCCCAGAATCAACGGTTTAGCTAGTTTATTTTTAATGCCACTCCAGCAAACGCGAGCTACATAGTAGGCGTAGTGAGGGGTGGAAGGTTTTTTTCGTTACGGAATTTCACGATTCCGCTCTCAAGCCGCGCTCAAGGCCCGCGACAAAATCTATGCAATAGCTTAAAAAAAGAGATCGCGCGTCGTGATTTGTAATTGCGTTCCATTACATGCATCGCTACATACCAATGCACCGGACGTCTTATCATTTAGGCCACGACGACTTCAAAAAGCGCATCTTATCGCTAAAAGCGATCTCTTCCAGGCAACAGTTTAGATAATGGCTATGTATTTTGATACTAACATAATTTTAAGATATCTATTAACATAACGAGTCCTAGTTTGGCTTTAATATATAAATAATAAAAATAATAAAAATAAAATATAATTAAAACGATTTTGACGGTTTAATTTCGCATTTTTTTTTATTAAATTTGTTTTCGCGAATTAAACAATAAAATATTTGGTTTTTTTTTTAAATCACTTTTGTAGGCATACATCATGCGGAGCATACTTGATGGTGAATGGCCATTGTCGCATATGCACCTCAGCAACTCCAGGGGCAAAGTCAAGCCGCTGCCTACCATTAAAATCCATACGAACGAATTCAATTATATTATTTATATTATTCATAGATTTAAGAAAACTGTCAAGGAACGTTTGTGCAACAAGGCATATTATAAAGTTAAGGATTATTTACTAGATGGCACTACGTGGGAATGAGGCGCTCGCTCCTGGCGTTTTCATTTTTCATTATTATTATTATTATTATTTTAATTGTATTTTTTGACTTGTTTTTTCCTTTCTTGTAAATATATTTATTTATAAAAAAAAAGGCAATATTTTGAGAAAAAACTAAAAAACAAAAAAAAACCCGGCTGAGTTTGTTTCGCCGGTTCTTCTCAGGACTGTGGCTTTTTTTGGAACCGGTGGTAGAGTTAAATATTGTTATTTATATTTTGACATTCAACAAGTGTGTCATACTGACATCTAAGTTGAAATAAATGATTTTGAATTTGAATTTTGAATTTGAAAAACAGACCTATTATTGTTTGTTTTCTGCCAATTTAGCATGACAATGTGATAATGAGAATTTTCCATTCACCGTGACTGGTAAAACCTGCTAGGAATTATCTGATAGCGGAGGATCGCTCGCTGATAAGCCTGATAGATGATGATGGCACACGAATAATTTCGTTTTGGATAGAGATACATTCATTGGATACGGCTCGTTACGTTAGCGATAACGATTGCGATTGCGATTGCGATTGCGATTCTTATGTATACGATTTTTTTTTATTGAATGGACTTTAGACTTTGTCGTATAAATGGTGCAGTGAATTTTTTGTTTTTTTTTGTTTTTTGGAGTCGTGCTTAGCTGGCCACCATGCCAATTTGCCGCCAAGCTGCTATGAGACCGCACGGGTAGATATAGCTAGATACAGCCATGCCAATTTGCCGTAAAGAATTAGTGATTGAACACGGGTAGATAAAGCCATTGCAATTTGCCGCCAAGCTCTAATGTGGGTCTAGTGGTGTGCGAAATCGATTATCAATAATCGATTATCACAATAATCATTTGGAATCGATTTTCTTTTATAAAATCGATTATTGAGAGAAAACCATTGTAACCCTGGTCGATCTGGGACCATTTTGATCAGGAGAAATCAAATTTTGTCGCCACATCTACATCTTCAACTGAGAATATATAACATTATAACATTACGACAATACTTGGAATTAATTGCCTTTGCAAGAACAAACAATTCTCTACAATATTAGAAGAGCATTAAAACAAATAACCCTTATCTGTACAAATTATATTTAAAATACTCGTGTATCGCAGCTACCCCCGCCCGATCCATTAACGGTGCTTTTAGGTACCTCAAGCATCGGTCACCGTCCTCGTCGCACCCGTCGCTTGCGACGAAGGTCTCGACGAGCGAATTAACCCATAGCCACAGCCCACTGAGTTTCTCGACGGATCTTCTCAGTGGGTCGCGTTTCCGATCCGGTGGTAGATTCTGCGAAGCACGGCTCTTGTTAGGGTCAGTGTTAGCAACACTTCGGTTTGAGCACCGTGAGCTCACCTACACACATTAGGGTAAAGCTGAGATAACCTCTCAAGGCTATCAGCATAGATAGGAAAAAAAGCTAAGTTTCTAAATTAGCTCTAGCTAATTAAAAAAAATTATGTTATGTCGATTAATAATAATTTTTTTAAATGCTAACTGGACTGATTGGAAATTTATTTATTTCTTTGATTTTTAATATAAACATGTTTCTTTTTCAATAAATCAGTGATTACATTCTGTTTTTTTTTATAATAATATGGAGAAGCTATAACAATTTTTATTTCAAAGTAATAATCAAACCTAATTGATTAATAATCGATTACCCTCCGATCGCATAATCGATTAATCGATTAAATAAATAATCGAATCGGCACACCACTATGTGGGTCCGCACCGGTAGATATATACCTATGGAAATTTGCCGCAAAGAATTAGTGATTTGTCTCAGGTGAATATATATAATCATGGAAATCTGCCGCGTAATTCCCAAGGTTGGTTCACGTCTAAACTTGGATGGCTTTCCGTTCCTAAATCTCCTTAACTAACCACATCAGGGACGCACATGCAGGCTCTTTGACTCCGGCACCTGTCCTGGTGAAACCGGAAAGACCTTCGGGCCACCAGTAATACAACATTACTTAAAAAAGATGTGTGGTGTCGTGGGACACCGGATAGGAACGATGTTCCTTATTATAAAAATATGAATTTTAAGTTCTATTGGAGGTATAAAGAAAATAAAACTGGAGGTTTCGCAACAACCCACGGTCATTCGGTAACGTGCTCACTTATTGTGGTTCACTTCATTCACGGTTGTTTGCATAAGAGTTAGTGTATTGCGCAAACGAACGCTCTGAGATTGTGGTCAATGAATGATAAAAGTGCTATTTTTTTGTAGGTTGTTACAAAGTTAAGTCGCACACTGTGTGCATTACTAATCTGTACGCTATTACCAAGTTAAGTCGTGCACTGTGTGCATTACTAATAAAAATCTTACGTTACGGACGTTTTTTCCGGTTAGGGTACCCCTCCGCATCGTCCCATAAGGAACTTCGTTCCAAAAAAAAAAACTTCAATTGTGACAAGTTTTGTTTGTAATTTTACATTTTAAATTGGTGCAAAAATAGCACTCAAAATTATCTCGTAATTATTACAATTATTATGACTCATTATAATGGTTTTATCTTTTTTTTTTATTCTTTATTGATATCATCACGCCTATCACATCCGGTGTGTATAGAGATACCGCGTTATCTTTCGCCACAGGTGTGTGTGTGTGTTGTGCGTTCATATAACATCGTATATGCGTTTACAAGCTGAACGAAATTCGCCCGTATTCGCGGGTGCCTTAAGGCTTAGATTCGTTTTATCGCAAAGGCGAATATAAACAATTTGCCACAATCTGAAACCGAAAACTCTCAAACATATGTACTAGTAACATATATATTTTTTCTTTGGTTAACGAAATCGTAACCTTATTATACTGTGCGCGTGGTCTAGCAGCGTCCCAGACTGCTGTTAAGTGGCCTCCGGAGCCCATGGACATCAGCAAGGTAAACGTCACGAAAAATGCTTTCGAATTCTCAGTTTTATAGTATACTAGCCGTACTCGCCTTTTCTACATGGATGCCAAGTTTCAAGTCAATCGGATGCACGGTTCAGTAGTTATAACGGAACATCCGTAAAAACCACTGTAGATTTATATATTAGTATAGATTGGCGGACCCGACAGACATTGTCCTGTGACTGCATACATAAAAATTCATTCAAGTCGATCCAGCCGTTTAGTTGCAATATAGATAAATCACTACATAGTATAAAACAAAGTCGCTTTCTCTGTCCCTATATCCCTATGTGTGCTTAAATATTTAAAACTACGCAACGGTTTTTGAAGTGAAACTTCTTTAGGCGCATGAGGGTAACATTTTTACAGAACGTCACGCAGGTATGCAACGGAAGTGACATCAAACTACTATTGAAATTAAGTACATGTCAAATGTCAGTAATAGGAGTTGTTGTATTTTTTCCAACTGGAAAGGCAAATGTATCATACCATACAGCCTAATATTTTATAATTTTTTTGTGAAAAATGTTTATAGGAATTGAAATGTAATGAAAAGAATTTGGAACATTAATCAAATAGCATGAAATTAAATTAGTCAATTCAATTGGCAAATTATTAGTCATTTACAATTTAGAAATCTAAACATAATGTGACTGTCAACACTGAGGTTTGAGATTGACATTTGACAGACTTTTGGCGGGAACATATCTTCCTTTTTCCCTTCCTCTAAGTCTCGGAAATCTAAAGTTTTAGATTTGTATAAAATATAAGTAAGACTTATAAATTAGTTCGCCAAAAAAGTTTCACTTCTGACATGTGTACTTTGTACGCGCGCACTTTTTTTTTAATAATTAGAGTGATTGAAGAGGAAGGTTTATATGTATAATAACATCCATTAAGTAGTGGAGAAATCAATAATAAATTACAGTTTCCGAAGCGAAGCGAGGGCGGGTCGCTAGTTATCTATATACCGACTTTTAGACCAACGTTTCAATATCGTATCTCAAGCACGCTATGACATCCATGTCCTTCGGGAACTGCTCATCATCAGACTCTTCGTAAATACGTTCGAGAGTCAACGCAAAATTTTTAATGTTTATGATTTTTCTATTACCAGGAATGTACACAATGCGAATGCTGGACGGGGCGAGCTCCCACCACGGCCCCCACCACAACCACTCCCACATGATGGTGCCAGGTGAGGTCCTTGAATCCTATAGGGCTTTCATTTCGCTATCCAAGCAGGAGCTCTTCGATGTTGCTTGGATATGAGAGATATGGGAATCCTGATGCATACCTACTCTGGTAAAGAAGTGGAAGTTCCCCCAAAGCTGATACAAAGAATCAGTAGGGGATTTGACTTGATCCACCTCGGATCAGATCACACCTTTGAAATGTCTCCTGTCTGTGCTGTGAAATGTCTGTCTGACTATTCGGCGATAGATGGCGTTACTCTTACCGGCGTAACAATATCATTTCTCCTACAGCATCATCAACGTCATCATCGATCCATGTTCACCGGTCGCCAACATCTTGGCTGCTTCCTCTCCTCCGATCAGGAGCCTCGGTCACTGCTGTGCTTGATGCTACTTGTATACTGTGATATCAATGGATCGTTGAGGAAATATTAGGGTTGTGTTTAATGTGTGCCTTGTCCTTGTCGTCAGAGCGTGACTCGGCATCAGACAGTGCCGTCTCCTCAATGGGCTCCGAACGCGTGCCTTCGCTTTCGGACGGCGAATGGTGTGACGGTAGCGATTCCGCCCAAGAGTTCCACAGGTGAGTTGCGTTTGAAGCCGTACCTTGCTTTGAGGCTTAGGTCCACGACTCAATTGTACCAAGGTTTGTTGGGCGGCTCTTAAAGTGGACCGGGTTTTGCCCCCTCGCGCCAGAACATTACTGGTGGTAGGACCTTTTATGAGTCCGCACGGGTGGGTACCACTACCCTGCCTATTTGTGCCATGAAGCAGTAATGCGTTTCGGTTTAAAGGGCGGGCCAGCCGTTGTAACTATACTGATACCTTAGAAAGTATATCTCAAGGTGAGTGTCGCATTTGCGTTGTGTATATCTATAGGGCTCTAGTAACCACTTAACACCAGGTGGGCTGTGAGCTCGTCCGCGCATATAAGCAATAAAAAAAAACCTTAAGGTTAGCCGGTTTTTGCCCCTCGCGCCAGATATAGGCAAGCGGAATAGACGATATTTAAGAAAGTGTCCTTTTTTTCCAGTTCCAAATTCCGCCCATTCGAAAGCTCTTACGGCAGAGAGCGCTCCGCCTCCCACCAGCCCCAGAAGAAGCACCACATGTTTGGGAAGAGATGCTTTCAGGTAAGTTCAACTGTTGACCAGACTTTAGCTGCTGCTTGAGTTGGCCGTAACTACAACCAACTGGTATCAGTAATGATGATGACTCCGACAATAATGGGTAAGAAGTAGACGCGTAGTTGTAGACGCTGCAGGCGTAAGAGACTCTAAAAAAAAAGGGAGCGGTAAGAGACAAAAAGAAAGGGGGCGTTGAGTAGAAGCTTTGGAGACGATTTGTAATTTCATTTAGAAGGACTCTTAGAAACCGGCTGAGCTCTCGCTAGAGTGGTTTTTAAGGAGGTGAAAAAATGGGGGAAAAAATGAGAGCCCCTGGTCTAAAGCCATATCGTCATCGGCACATCCGTTTAGCGGACGGACTGTAGTTATGTAACAGTCGATCTCATCTCCCAGGAGCAGCCGCCGCCTCCCATGGAGCCGGTGCAGACGCAGCGACCTACTCCCGTCAAGTACGAGTGTCCGGAGCAGGCTTACCACCACGAGGGCCTGCACATGCACAACGGTACGTGTTAAACTATGCGATGTGACTAACCCAGTGGCGCAGTGGTTAGCAGCTTTGACTGGTGCGCTGAGGGTCGCGGGTTCGATTCTCGCATTGGGCAAATATTAAAACAGCTTTGTTCGCTCGTTATCTAGGTGTTTATCATCTATATATGTATACTAGTGACCCGCCCTCACCTTGCTTATTGTCGTACCGCTGGCGACGCCGCGGGGCGAAGCTAGTCCAAAAAAAGTAGCCTAAGTGACTCTTTATATCATCAGCTACCTATCAGTGAAAGTCACGTCAAAATCGGTCCAGCCATTCCAGAGATTAGCCGGAACAAACAGATAGACAGACAGACAAAAAAATTACAAAAACATTTTTTGGTAATTGTTCTATGGTATACATACTTACGCATTTAGTAAAAAGTAGTTATTTTATTATTACAAACAGACACTCCAATTATATTTATTTCTATAGATATTTATAAACGTATCTAAGTCTGTTACCCATAACACAGTGAATTTGAGGTCTAATTTGAGGCCAATCATTAATTTATTTATTATTAAAAATATGTGTGTGTATGTGTGTATGTATAAAATAGGCAAAGATAGAACAATATTTCCTTGTCTCTTTTTAAGTAGTGCTGTCATTAAAATAAAAAATTCACGAGTAGTTTTTTTTTCTTTCTTAAACAAATGAGAAAAGCTACAAATGTAATTAATAATCACTGAACCGATGACGTCACAATAGTTTTGTCATCTCGAATTAATAATATCTTAAGATCTGACATTAGAAAAGACATTAAATTTTTCTTGTCATTTATTTTCGTACAGATTTCGGAGGGCGGCACCAGGTCGCTCCGCCCCACGTGGCGGGTCTGCAGCCGGCGTTAGAGCTGAACGCGCCCCACTCCAGCCACGCCCTGCTCCAGGTAAGCGGCGACGAGCCCCGGGGACCAGGGGGGGGGCGGTATGAAGGGGGAGGGAGGCGTCCCATGAGCCCCCACGGACCACCGCTCTGCCTAGATCTAGTGCGAACCACTAAAGAGTTCCAGTTAGAAGGGTGGGGGACAGCCGAGTTACTGTACTGAAACTTAGAACTCATGTCTCAAAGTGCTTAACTCCACTTAACGCCAGGCGGACCGTAATTCTCGCAGGCAGACGAGCATACCTGATGGTGAGTGGTTACCGTCGCCCAAGGACGTCAGCAATGTCGGGGACAGAGCCGAGTCGCTAAGCATTAAGTCGTTAAGTACTCTGCACAAGCCTCGTTTGAAGAAGTTAGTCTTCTAGATTTTTTCTCTTATCTAGATCTGAAAGCGACCTGGTACATGACTCTTCCAGTATCTTATACCAATGCGCTCCAATTAAACCATCCGTTTGTCTTTCAGGGTGCCGTGGGGCCGGGGTTCGGAGTCCCGGAGCGCGTGCGGCACAACCACACGTACAGCGCGCCCCTCGCCGCGCCCCCGCACGCCCCTACCGTGCGCGACAAAAGGGGTAAGTGACGACTACTACACACTATCTCCATTCGTAACAAACTATATCCGTTATGATTATATAGCACGTGATATTCGTTATATTAAAATAGCACGCGACATTCGCTATATTTATATAGCACGCTATCTATTTTGAAGTGAAACTTCTTTAGGCGCGTTGAGAGTTAAATTTAACTCGCGACATATTCGTTACAGCTAGAAAGAAAAGATACAATTTATGATGAACGAGAGTGAGAGAATAGACAGAGCGTCTCGCGAACCGCTCGACCGTGGAGAGAGGGAGAGGACAAAGCGAGCTAGGTCATCTCTCTTATACACAGCATTCCCTATTACAAGAGAAATTTGATTTAAGGATGAAAAATGAAGAAAACCACAATACTACACACCGCAAAAGAAGTTTCACTTCCTTTACGTGAAGTTTCACTTCTTTTACGTCGGTCAAGCTGCACGGGCACCATTTTTTTTATCTCGGCGGGAATCTAGTCCTACATAGCGCGCGATATTTGTTGAGAAAAAAAAAAGCATTCTATTTGTTATGAATTCAATAACGCTCGTTTTGTTATGTGTCGGAAATAACGTGCTATTTTTTCGTACGCTATATTCTTTAAGCCTGCTAAATATAGACAACAATAGGAGATGCTAGAGAAGGCCTACATATTGAACTCAGAGATATTCTGTAAAATACAAAAAATATATAGAACTGTCAAAAGCTGTTTGGCTTAAACGAGATTTCGCTTAACACGCGACATTTATCTTTGCAATTAAAGGTCCGTTTTATTCGGTATCAGCATCAACAGTTCGATGTTTTTAATTGAACTTCAATTATGTTTACTCCATTCGAATAGCTGAAGAAGTTTCTCTAGTTATGACATTTTTTTCAAATTTTGAAATGGTTCTCCTAAACATACATGAAGGTAGTCAGTCGGTGTTCAAATCCGGTCGTGGCATATCCCACTATTAGTTGGTGTGACAGAGACAATGCTCTACGAAACCATATTTAGCCGATCTTCTCTTTCTAAATGTCGATCTACAATATCTATCTCCGGCTATATATACTGTACTTGCGTATTCATGAAATTTTAAAGTACCCACCAAAGTACCCATAACGCTGAAATGCCTCAAATCTTTGCTCTAATTTATTCGGTATTAAATATCTAATATCGCATCTATATATAAAGACTAAAACGTACATAAACAAACAAAAGAAGGCAAAGTTAGACAATCCAGGTGCCTTAGTAACGGAAATCAACATAATTACTTGAGTGCGCCGCGTAGGACACCGGTGACCTACACTGCTGTCGAAGAGTTAAAACCGTCTTAGCATGGCCTCAAGTTTAATGGAATTTATCGCTTTTTTTATACCTTGCCTAAATGTGCCGTGTGCTGACAGTGAGTTGTCACCGTCGCTCAGGGACAGCAGCAATTCCTGAAGCTAATACCAAATCGCGAATCCTGATCACGCAGGAGCCAGTCACCGTAAACGCCCTGGACATATCTTTTAGTGCTTAGACCCAATAACCATTACATTAGACGCCTTCAGCTCTAACACTAGGACCTCGGCGACCGTACTCGTCGAACTCGGCAAAGAGTTCGACGTGCAACCTAACCTAAATATAAAAAAAAAGACAAGCCCGCTGAGTTTCTTGCCAGTTCTTCTCAGGGCGGAGGCTGGTTTTTGTGAATTGGTCGTAGTTCTTTTTGACGTTCAACAAGTTTGTACTTTCATTTATGTTAAAGAGATTTTGATTTGATTTGATTGGAATCAAATCAAATCAAAATCTCTTTATTCATTGATTTGGATTTGATTCCAATCAAATGCGAGAAACTCAGCGGACTGATGTTTAAATCAAATCAAATGCGAGAAACTCAGCGGACTGATGTTTAAATCAAGTTAAACATCAGCCCGCTGAGTTTCTCGCCGGATCTTCTCAGCGGCTCGCGATTCCGATCCGATAGTAGATTCAGCGAAGCAGCTGCTCTTGAGTTGTGAGGCGCTCGGACGGCTGTTAGCAAATCCCACCCCTTCTGGCTGAGCCTTTGTTCGCCCCCCCCCCTGTCCTGGTAAAATTGGAGAGGCCTCTGGGTCCGCTCATTCAGCCCATAGCGTTACAGATTTGTTATTAACTGGTCGTGTCGTCAACAGTTCGCCGACTCACCGACGGTAGCGCTTCGGACGGGGGCTCATCATGCACCAGCGCGCAGCATCTGTCCCGAGACGAGAAACGGGCCAAGGCATTAGGTAATGATGAGTTTCTGTATCTTCTCACCACAGGATTAGTCCGTGTACCATGCAGATCGTAGAGTCTCACATACCCCGCGCGCCCCTTTTGCGCGGGGACCTCGTAGGAGGTTCGGCCCTCTATCCGAAAAAAAAAAAAAAAAAAAAGGATTAGTCCGTGTGTTCAGTCGTCTGGGCCAGCGGTACTCAACAGTTTTTCACTCCGCAACGCACTAACATCCCTCAGACACAGCCCACTGAGTTTCTCGCCGGATCTTCTCAGTGGGTCGCGTTTTCGATCCGGCGGTAGATTCTGTGAAGCGCTGCTCTTGCTAGGGTTCGTGTTAGCAACGTCGTCAGGTTTGAGCCCCGTGAGCTCCTACCTACTAGTTAAGGTTACGGTGATATAGCCTCTCAAGGTTCTCAGCTTAGGTAGGAAAAAAAAAGCACTAACATACTCTTTACAAATTCGCGATAACGTTACACGAAACATTTTTGATAATTAATCGTATCTGTGCATGCATGGTAACATTGATTAAACATATCTAAATCTAACAAAAAAACTAATTGGTTGTCTGTAGAGTCGGTTTACGGGCGATAGTTTTACTTGATGACGTCGACAGCGGAATTATTCGGAATTAACTGAACGGAATTAACTGCTAACTCTGACGTCACGCGAGAAGAGAGACGAATGTGTCACAAGCCAACGCTTGGGTCGATCGTGCCTCTCTATCGCTCTCGCTCGGGCGGAACGTGACACTTTTTCGTGCGTGCAGCCGGTGTTTATCGATTTATAAGACGTCACAAATATGGTTCGGGCATTGTTATAGCTAAACGTTTAATTGATAGGGCCCTAAATACAGTTTTCTTGGGCCAGCGATCCGCTCCCAACATCTGGGGACCGTCCAGTGTCAGAGACCCCACACGCCCCCGAGCCCCCAAGCGAGGGGATCTCGCAGGAGATTCGACCCCGGGAGGGACCCCGAGACACGATCGGAATCTCAATTTGGACTTCAGATGTCCCACCGTTTAAATGGGAATGCATTTTTTTCCTCATTGTTGCCCATTTTTGCTCATTTCTGCCGTGATGCAGTCACGGCGTGTGTTCTGGTTTTAATGCACCAAACAGTGGTTAACTCAATCGAGGGTCAGTTTCGAGACGTACCTGTTCTAATGAATATAATATAATGGATTTTTTTTTAAAAGTAAAAAACATTTGAGTACCACCGTCTCGTCTGTTTGCCCAAGTTAAACTATTTTCTTCGAAAAGTATAGATGCCGGGCCGGTGATTCTCAAAGTGAATAGGTAATCCAGTGATTCTCAACCGGGGGCGGAGATGTATTTTTTTTATCGCGATAAATCCAAATTTAAATTTTATTGAATACTTATAGGGTTTAGCACGCATAGATACTATTACTAGCTACTACTACTACTACTACTACTACTACTACTACTACTACTACTAGCACTCCTAATTTTTCCTTGAAGCACGCGTCCGCTGTGAGTGTCTATGGGTTTCTCGAACTATTTACCATCAGATTAGGCGTGGTAGGTACCAGCGCTTTGTCTATTTCTGCCGTGAAGCAGTAATACGTTTCGGTTTGAAGAGCGGGGCAGCCGTTGTAACTATACTTGAGACCTTAGATCTTATATCTCAAGGTGGAGGGCGCATTTACGTTGTAGATGTGTATGGGCCCCAGTAACCACTTAACACCAGGTGGGTTTTGAGCTCGTCCATCCGTCTAAGCTAAGCAATAAAAATAAAAAATAAAATCTCAAAATGTGGACATAGCAGATTTTGGATTTGACAACGACGATATGCACCTACACCTACCAAGGTTCATCTCTGCACTGCCCTAAGGTAGACTGTTAGAGAATGCCTATGGCTTTGAGTCCGTCTTTATACTTTCTAGTATATGAAGTTATAAATAAATAAATATGCAAAATGTTTTAGTGAAGATGTCTTTGTGTCCATTACTATGTTTTCTGTCTCTGTCTCTGTCGCTGTGATGATAAACGATGACCTCTTCCGTCCCCCAAGGTATCCCCCTCGAAGTCCAGGACATCATTAATCTGCCCATGGACGAGTTCAACGAGAGACTGTCGAAGCACGACCTCAGCGAGGCGCAGTTGTCGCTGATCCGGGACATCAGGAGGCGGGGCAAGAACAAAGTGAGTAACGCCAATAGAGCTTGATACTTTACGTATACAGGTGATCCCCCTATATAACGCGGTAGATACGTTCAGGTGATCCCCCTATATAACGCGGTAGATGCGTTCTGGTGATCCCCCTATATAACGCGGTAGATACGTTCAGGTGATCCCCCTATATAACGCGGTAGATGCGTTCAGGTGATCCCCCTATATAACGCGGTAGATGCGTTCAGGTGATCCCCCTATATAACGCGGTAGATGCGTTCAGGTGATCCCCCTATATAACGCGGTAGATACGTTCAGGTGATCCCCCTATATAACGCGGTAGATGCGTTCAGGTGATCCCCCTATATAACGCGGTAGATGCGTTCAGGTGATCCCCCTATATAACGCGGTAGATACGTTCAGATGATCCCCCTATATAACGCGGTAGATACGTTGAGGTAATCCTCCTATATAACGCGGTTCATACGTTCAAGTGATCCCCGTATACAACGCGGTATATACGTTCAGATGATCCCCTTACATAACGCGGTAGATACATTCGTAAAAAGCCGCGTGTTGTACGAAACCGTGTTATATGACTGGGACTAGAAGCCAGTACAAATATAAATCTTTTTTATTAAGCTAATCTTTATATAATAATCTTTAAAAAATATTAATAACCAAAGCCGTTGTTGACACGCCGAGGGTCGCAGGTTCGATTCCCGCATCAGGCAATCGTTCGTGCAACGAACACCGCTTGTTTGTTCATTGTCTGGATGTTCATTATCTATATATGTATACATTTAAACGTATATCAGTATGTATGTCAGTGTCTGGTACAAGTAACGTAGGGAATCCTAATTTGGGGGACCGAATGACCGTGCGTGATTATTATATATTGAAACTACACGGGCGCCCCCTGTCGTACTTCAATGTAACTACGATAGAAACCTTCCCTAGAGCCCGAATAACAATTGCATCGAGTTCCGTCACAATGAGACAAGAACGCGTATGTGCAGACACACAAACATTCGTACTCTAATTCCGCCCATCCTCCGCCAGGTGGCAGCACAGAACTGCCGGAAGCGGAAACTGGACCAGATAACCTCGCTCGCGGACGAGGTCAGGACCGTCCGGGACAGGAAGCTGAGGACCCAGAGGGACCACCACAGTCTGCTGGCCGAGAGGCAGAGGCTCAAGGAGAGATTTGCGGCCCTATACCGACACGTTTTCCAGGTAACACTCATTCGAGGGGGGGGGGGTCTGTGAGAGCCCAAACGCTCAGCTCAATGACCGATATTAAACGCTTCGTTTCGCTTCGTGCAGAACCTCCGCGACCCCGAAGGGAGGCCGCTGTCCTCGGGCCAGTACTCGCTGCAGCAGGCGGCTGACGGCAACGTGGTCCTCGTGCCGAAGATGCCTCAGCACCAAGGTGAGTGTAGCTGGTGACTTTATACTGGGGGGACCGTCACCCTAACGGGACCCCCATGTGAACAACACATAGAACTTAGACTTACTGGTGGTAGGACCTTTTGTGAGTCCGCACGGGTAGGTACCACCACCCCGCCTATTTCTGCCGTGAAGCAGCGTTTCGGTTTGAAGGGCGGGGCAGCCGTTATAACTATACTGATAACTGAGAACTTATATCTCAAGGTGGGTGGCGCATTTACGTTGTAGATGTATATGGGCTCCATAAGCCACTTAACATCAGGTGGGCTGTGAGCTAAAAAAAAAACCGCTTCATTGGCCTTAGCGTCTGTCACTGACATTTCAAGAGGGTCGTAGTTCCATAGACGCACCACAGGTAACGTCCGGATAGATCCCATGATTGCAAAGCCAATCAGCCTTCACGCATTGATGTCCCCGGGCTCCATTACGTCCGTATAATGAGCGCTGTTGTCCCCCAGATCACCCGATGAACAGGACTTCGGATGATGAGATGGAGAGGAAAGCGAAGCACTACGACCAGTGACACATGGCCGCGCTCCGCCGCGCCGCTGCCTCCCAACGAGGGGTCTACTCTTAAGTGCGGCCAGAACTATCTGACTGACAGAACTATCTAAAAGACACCTCCCAAAATTGACAGCTGTCAACCGTAGTATTAAGGCGCGGACGGGCAAAGGGTAATTTAGTACATGCACGATTCGAGTCGGCATTTTGTATATATAGATCGGTTTCGCGGGACGTATCGCCGTCCCTCTCGCACCTAGACACCGGTCGGTCACCCCCAACCACTATTATTGGAAGCTCAGGTTTTTGATGCGACCTAATATCGACCTTAAGCATTAAGGCACAAGTAATAAATTGGTTTAACGTTGTACAATTAATTTTATGATTCGCTTCCTATTCATTTATAATATAACATATTATGGGTTTAAAAAAAGTCTGATTATTTTTTTTGTTGATACCCACGTCATTAAAAAATAAAAAAAGCGTTTGAAAAACAGATGAGAAAATTTCACTCTTATTGCTTTATATCTTCATCAGATTATTACATTACACAATGTAAATTATATGCTCTCAATGATATTACTGCCAAATTAGATTTTGGGATGCAACCTTTGTTTGTTGAAATTATTATGCGAGGGAAAGGGATGGCGATATAAGTCTTATTCATTCGGTAAATTCCGACGATTTTAGTATACATATTAAATTGAGCTTTGTGTGTGAGCAATACGGGTTGTATTTGTATCAGAGGCGATGCACTGCGCAATGCAATACAAACTCGACTGACGGGTTGAACGACCTCATAGGATTCGCTTTTCATTGCGCGCTAACTAACCGCTATAGTCTCCCTGAACTGTATATGTCAGGGGCGCACGAACTATTTAAAGGCGAAAGGCCTATTTAAGTTAAGCGACATTTTTGCAACATTACAGAAGAGCCATTTAAAGATAAAAAATTTGGAAAAAATATCATCATAAGAAAAAAACTTCTTCAGCTATTCGAATGGGGTAAACTTAATTGAAGTTCAATTAAAAACATCGAACTGTTGATGCTGTAATAACCAAATAAAACTGACCACTAATTACAAAGATAAATGTCGCTTGATAAGCGAAATGTTGCTTTAACTAAGCAGCCTTTCATCCCTCGATTATGTTTACGCCTAATTTTAAGACAAACTTAATCCGAATTAAGTTTGTTACTTGGGACCCGAGACGACTCGCGTGTCGACGTTGACAGCTGTCAAAACTGACAGACGTCACGGCAGAAGGACATAGTTCATACGTGATGACGTCATCGCTAAAATAAATTTGTTTGATTTTTTTTTTTTCAAAAAAAGGAAATGTGATAAAACGTGTATTCCATTTTTTCTTTAGTTATTTTATATCTCATTAGGAATTTTTCATATTTTTTTTTGTTTGGAGGTATTTTGATGTATTTTTCTTTTTGGTTTTTTTTACTTATGCATCAAAATGTTGAACTTTAAGACATTCGGGCATAGTACGTTGATTGCATTGTATTTAAAAGTAGATGCATTATTAAAATTTATTAAGAAACTAGAAAGGAAACTTGTAACGACTGAATATTCTAAATAAAAAAAAAAACCATAGACTAATATTAACAAAACAAAAAAAAACAATAATAGATGTCTCCGACATCGATCGAATTGCAATAAGTAAACTTAAATTTAATAAAAATATATAATAATAATAGTAATAAAAAAAAACTAGCTTAATTATTGTTATAATAATATTATTAATTTTGTAAAATATAAATATATAAGTATATATTGTATTTATTTGTAATAGTAATTAGTATTGTAAATTGAGGGGTTTTTGGTGGTTTTGCTTTTTTTTTAAAACACAGTCCGTCGGTTTTGACGGGTCGGTGTTGCCACGTTCGCAGACGCAAGTACAAAATGTAGAAATGCAATGTTGCCAGCGTGAAAGGAAATTTCACAGCTAATTTAGAGGTATTTTCGGCCAACCCGGCACCGCGTTACCATGTCAATGTCGATGACAATGTCCATGGAAACTTCTCGACGCGCTGTGCAACAGTAATGTTCGTCGAAGAACACAATGTAAATAGCACTATTTATTATTTTAATGAAATCTGAATAAGGTGATTTTGTAAAAAATATATTAACTATAATAATAATAATATTAAGAAAAAAAGAAACAAAATCTTTAAAAAAAAACAATAATATAAAAATTCAACCCCGAATTAAAAATAATTATATATTTTTTTTGTCGTATAATAATTATGTTGAACAAATATAAGGACAGTGAATTTTTTTTTTGTTTTTTTTTAAATGCAATTGAAGGGCTCGTGTCGACTGCATACAAATTTGAGTTAACTTTTACGCTATCGAGAACGTTAAAAAACTCGCACTTAGCACACTGCTAATCTAATGAGACGTATATTAAGCCGATGCAAGTTATCTTGGACCACACCTTTACCCTGAAGGACCGCTTCTAATATACATTTTATACATTTAAGTTATTATGAATAACTACTAATTAACTTATTCAAAATGGCTAAAAAACTATCAAAATTGGCGTAACTGATAGACGGAATAAATGAAAGAAAAAAGGTTTTTTTTTTGTTTTTTTTTTGTTTAAGTGATTTTCGTAATGAAAACAGTTTTTTTTTTGTTTTTTTTTCTTGTTTTTCGTAAATATTAAATTTAATTTATCGAGATATTTTTGTAATTAGCACGAGCTCGCTTTTACCGCGTACGTCGATGCTACTAACAATGATTTCTCATGTCGGTAAATTACTCTTTGGAACTTGTTAAAAGGCTAAATTTCCACTTCAATCAGCTCACAGCAATCCACAGTAGTTAAAATCGGAAAGGTTCACACACACTTCGAAAGGCCATCGACCTGTCACTTTGACAGATGTCAAGATGACAGCCTCTTGACAAGCGCCTCAGAGTAGAGAAAGAAGCAGTTTTGTAAATAGCTAAAATTAAGGTACCTATATATTTAAAATAAAAATAGATATATGTATACATATTTTTTTTTTGTATAATATAAATAATTATGTAAGGTTTTCCTTTTAAATTTTTAACATTTAGAAGTAAAATAGAAATTAAGGTAATTTAATAAAAGATGGCGAAATTGAATTTTGTGTGGATTTTTATTTGAATTCTTTATTTCGTGTAGTCAGTTTCCTGTTCGGGCAATACATGTGTGGCGGTTGAAGATTTGAGACACATATAGTACGGGTTTGACCAGTTCACCTTGAGACATGAGACATTTATCTCGACTCTGGAGAGATTGTGGAGATTGCGGTAGGCAGCTGTTGGGCTCTGTCCCTGGCATTGTTGATCCATGAGCGACGGTAACCACTCACCATCAGGTGGGCCGTACGCTCCACCGCCTAATAGGGGAAAAAAATGTGTGCGTGTACTAGTGTACACACGTAAGAAGTGAAACTTGTTTATGGCCTTATTTTTCGAAAAATGATCTACATGCAACTTTCTAGAAATTGGTTAAATAAAGTTAAATTAGATAAAGTTTAAACAAAAGGATTTTATTATCATAGACATGAATACAAATAATACAATTATTTCACTTTACCTTTTTGCTACTAAGATTATTACAGCATTTCATTAATTGTAATAGAATTATTACTATCATTGTCATTGTCATTATATATTTTTGTAATTAATGGCTTATGGTAACTGAAATATGAAATATATGGTTTACATTCCACGAAATTTAGTGACCGAGTAAAAACTCCATCAATTGTAGTGCCAGATCTTGTTGTTGACGTTTGAGGACTGTTTTTCATGGATAAATTCAATTTATCTTTCAGAAATTCAACTAGCTTCAAAGAATTTTCCGATGCAAAATTTACATTAAAATCTCCACTTAAAATCATCGGTATTTTATAATTATTGTTACCGAGTAAAGAGGCACCTTCACTTGTGTACGGCAACAATGAATGGTGAAGAAAAAGATGGCGCGTAACGGAAAAATGTGACGCGTAACCGAAAAATGTGACGGTAAATTTTTTTCCAACGCCGATAAAGAAGTTTCACTTCAATAAAAATCTTCTTTTTCTTCACCTTATCCCACTAGGTGGGGTCGGTACAGCGAATTTTTCTCTTCCATTCTCTTCTATCAGCCGTCATCTCAACACTCACTCCTCTCTCTCTCTCATATCGTCATTCACACACTCCATCCGTGTCTTCTTCGGTCAACCTCTTCCCCCTCTACTTAATATATACTTAATAATAGGGTGTGGCGGGTAGCCATCATACAACGCAAGATAATTGACAGATGCCTGAATCTCGCTTACGACATTTTAAAGATAAAGCGCATATATACAAGTTCCGAACAACAACATTCGGACCGTCGGTCTACCGAGCAAATATCACCCGCTCGGTGGAAGATCTTCAGCTACCACAATTGATGTGGGCTTATCCCAAATTTCAAAATTCCACACACGTTTACTCTACACAATATAATACTTATATAATATATTTATTTCATATAATTATTAATACACACAGAGTATACATTCACACACATAACATATCTATTAATATATTATTACTACATTACATATACAACAGACATACACACACGACAATTTATCGTACCGCGTCAATCAGCTGGTCGCCCGTTCGTTTGCGCTGTGGACACGCGCGCTTGAACGGAATGTCGCGGGTAGCTGGGAAATGTACTCCTGCGCAGCTGATCGCGGCTAGCCACGCCCCCGGTCGAAACTTACCTCGTACTGAACGCACGTCGCTATCGCTTATTGTATACTGTTTATTGTTTTCGAAGCTTTTGCCTCAATTTTGATAACACGCTTTCTTTGTGTTTATCGTAGTTGTATTGTCGTAAAGTGTAAAGTGCCTTCTGTGTGCTGTTTATAAACTGAATCTCATCTGTGCTCGTAACCTTCAATTCTTCATAATTATAATAATATAGACTGTTTTGTATTTTGGTGTGGACTAAGTGTAACTTTTAATAAACATTTAATTAATGTGCAAGGTGTCGTATTTAATTTATTATCCGAACACCGACGGCGCCTACTCAGGTACTTACATACCTTTACCACATTACGCTACGCGTCCGGACGACGTATACATACTCATCCACATCTATACGGGAGACCAACGATTCTCGTCTATAAGGGCAATAAAAAAATTATATAAAAATCATTGCAGTAACCTTCGAACATCCAATGAGAAATTTATGCCTCGTTGTCATCAGTAAAATATACTAAAATTATTTTATCCAGCGACTAACTAAATTACAAAATAAAACACAATTTATATATCATAGCTTTGATTTAATTTATATTCAATAATAAAATTGTATTGAGAAACAACATAGCTATTGCGTGTTGCAAGAATGGCATACGCGCACATTACTATTGACAATGTCAATGTGTTGTCGATACATTAAAAATGGAGAAGACGAGATGGCTATCTAAACATAAAATTTAAATGTTCAATGTATCAGTAATAAATACAAAGTGTAACATGAGCACGCAATGTATAGCGTACAAAACGTTTCGCTTTTCAATTCTCCGACCCTTATAAAAACATTACAAATATTATATTAGAAAATGATTTTAGTACATTTAATAGTATATACCAAAAAAATCGAGCTAAAAAGTCTGATATTAATAGTAAAAAATCAAATCGCTTCAAATTACTTTCTAATACTATTTGTCTTGAATTCGAAATAATTTTACAAAAATCCTCATTTATATATCTAGACAAATAAATAAAATTGGAGTGTCTGTATACCACAGTACATATACCAAAAATTTTTTTTACTTTTTGTCTGTCTTAATTAATGCCTCTAGAGATATTCTTAAAAAAAAAATTAATATTATTACAATTACAACTGACATACGCCGCTCAGACGATCGTAAGCGTCCCCACGTGTACGTCATAGGAATGGCTTAGTTTTAATTATATCATTGTAACAATTATACAGGGTGTTACAAAATGCTTAGTTCCTATTTCTAGATTCCATTAAGGCATCGCGAGCTGTGATATCAAGGAAATTAATATCTCAGCTTCTCTCCAATCGCCGCTGTAGGTTGACGAGCATATGGCCCAACTGATGGTAAATTGAGGGGCTCAGAGATAAAGCTCTGTGAAGCACTTTCTTGGCACACCGTGTAATGACAAATCGGTATTATGTTGACCCTTTATGAACTTTGTACGTATATGACCCATATGAGGTCACCGTGGCTCATGGACATCAAACAGCCAAACAACATAAAATTCAAATGGAATTGAAATTACTGAAGGCTAATAGACGTTAACAGTATAATTATCATTACTGGTACGACCTCTTGTGAGTCCGCGCGGGTAGGTACCACCACCCTGCCTATTTCTGCCGTGAAGCAGTAACGCATTTCGGTTTGAAGGGTGGAGCAGCCGTTGTAACTATACTGAGACCTTAGTCTCAAGGTGGGTGGCGCATTTACATTGTAGATGTCAATGGGCTCCAGTAACCACTTAACAGCTGGGCTGTGAGCTCGTCCAACCATCTAAACCAGGGGTTCCCAAACTTATTTTGTCTACTGCCCACTTTGAGAATAAATTATTTTTTAGCGCCCCCATTTTATCACCTACTTCAAGACCTCTATAGCGAGAGAGCTCAGTCGGTGTCTAAGAGTCCTTCTAGATAAAATTACAAATTGCCTCCCAAACCTCTACACAGCGCCCCCAATTTTTTTCTGGGTCTCTTACCGCCCCCTTTAGGCCTTCAGCGCCCATAAGGGGGCGTTATCACCCACTTTGGGAAAGGCTGATCTAAGTAATAAAAAAAAAAGGAATTTTCGTCGAGTTCTGGTCGCGCGGCGGCTCAGTTGAGCGTAAGCGGCGCCTGCGGGGGCGGGAAGCAGCGCACGTGCTCGACGCCGGCCGCGTCGTCCGCGGACAGCTGCCTGGACAGCACGCCGAAGATCTGCGAGTTCAGCACTTGGAACCGCCTGATGCGGTCCACCATCCGCTTGAGGGGCTGCGGACACAGGTAATACATAAATCTATACTAGTATATCAATCTACAGTGGTTTTACGGATGTTCCGTTATAACTACAGAACCGTGCATCCGATTGACTTGTAACTTGGTATTCATGTAAAAAATACATGTACTTAATGGATAGGCTAATATTTATATGAGTTTTGGACTCCCTACACCAGTTGCGGGGGCGTTAATGATGAGAATCTTTGTGGGGTTGAGAAGTAATAATGTTAATTTTAAATGCCCAGCGAAGCGGACGGGTACAGCTAGTATACATATATATAACGAGGGGAGAAAGACTATTTGGTTTAAGCGACATTTTTGTAACTTTACCGTAGAGCCATTTAAAGTTTAAATTTATTTTTGGAAGAAATATAAATTTCAATAAAGTGTTTGTAATTTAATATAAGCTAGTGGTCGCCCGGTAGTCGAAATTCGAATTTAAATAATTGGTTATAAGTTTGAACTTTATTAAGGTTCTATTGTCATAGACTATTTATTATACTTCTGTAAGCACGGATTTCGCCAAGACTACACTATAGACAAATAATATTAAAAAGAAACAATATTAATCTATTCTCAACTTGACCACAGACTTTAAATAATGACAAAAGTTTGACAATAAACAGAGAGTACCTATTTATGTTTGTGTTTTGTCAAATATATGGTGTGTAATGTTTTTTTAAAACTGAATTAAGAAAAATATATTAGCAATCTGCACTCCTTCTCTATATTCTTTATAAGTGTGGGAAATTCTATACTCCTCCGTCCGCGCAATTTTCGTTAAAAAGTAACACACATTATATAATTAAGTATATAGTGTGTCAATTTTTTTTTATTGTTTAATGTCTGTGCTCAAATTGAGAATAGATTAATATTGTTTATCTTTCATATTATTTGTCTATAGTGTAGGTAGTCTTGGCGAAATCTGTGATTATAGAAGTATAATAAATAGTCTTTGACAATAGAACCATAATAATGTTCAAACTTATAATTTCAATTAATAATTATATTCTTATTTCGACTACTGAGGCGGACCACTAGTATTATTAAAGTCACTCACAATGCCTTTGACCAGTTCATCCTTTCCGTCGACCCTCTGCACCCTCAGGATGTGGTAACAGAAGTCCAGCGCCTCGAACCTCCTCTGCTGCCCCAGGAGAGCGATGATGGTGCAGCCGGCCCAATGGAGACCCTCGCCGAACAGTTCCCTGACAGTTCAACATTATAGATGAAGTGCAACTTCTTTAAGCGCGTTGTGGATAAAATTTAACTTGGGACAGATTCGTTACGGCTAGAGAGAATGCGATTTAGGATGAGCGAGAGTGAGAACCTTTAAGTACTTTTATGAATGTTGCATTTTTGAAGTGAAACTTCTTTAGGCGCGTCAAGAGTAAAATTTAACTCGTTTCGACAGATTCGTTACGGCCAGACAGATAAGATACGATTTAGGAAGAGTGAGAGTGAGAAAATAGACAGAGCGTCTCGCGAACCACTCGACCGTGGAGAGAGGGAGAGGACAAAGCGAGCTAGATCGTTTCTCTTATACACAGCATTCCCTATTACAAGAGAGATTTGATTTAAGGATGAAAAATGAAGAAAACCACGATACTACCGATGGCAAAAAAGATTGTTTCACTACATTCATGCGCACCATTTTTTTATATTAGACATTACATTAAAATAAGACATGACTTAAAGGTCTCAGTTACCAGGTCATAAAATCTCTTAAAAAAAAATCAGTCATCATAACTTGGCGAACGCGCGGGTAGGTACCACCGCGCTGCCTATTTCTGTCGTGAAGCAGTAATGCGTTTCGGTTTGAAGGGTGGGGCAGCCGTTGTAACTATACTTGAGACCTTAGAACTTATATCTCAAGGTGGGTGGCGGCATTTATGCTGTACATGTCTATGGGCTCCAGTAACCACTTAACACCAGGTGGGCTGTGAGCTCGTCCACCTATAAACAGTACTCACTCGACGGTAAACTGGGTGTCGCCGACCGGGATGCAGTACAGGAACTGCAGGGCTGACCACAATCTGCAATAGGGAGATGAATACTATAGTTGAGTGTTGAGCGTCGGTCGGTGCGTGGACAGCAACGAAAGACGGCGTTGAAAGCATGTGAATTATCAGTTGCGTTGTTACGCAGCTTCCAGTCGCGAATGCCTTTGGGTAGAACGCGGCTCCCTTGTGTAACAACATTCCCTTGTGTAACGCGTCTTACGTTTGGCCTTGACCAGAAAATATATTTCTTGTGTAACAACATTCCCCTGAGTAACTAGTCTTACATTTCGCCTCGGCTAGAAAATATACCCCTATGTAACGATATTCCTCTGTGTAACCAGTCCCACGCTTGGCCTTGACTAGAAGGTATATCCCCAGTGTAACAATATTCTGCGGTGTTTGGGCTTGTGTAGCAATATTACCCTGTGTAACTAGTCTTACGTTTGTCATTGTTAGAAGGTATATCCACTATGGAACTAGTCTGACGTTTGGCCTTGGCTAGAAAATATATCACCTGTGTAGCAACATTCCTCTGAGTAACTAATCTTACATTTGGCCTTAGCTATAAAATATACCCTTGTGTAACAATAGTCCCCTGTGTAACTAGTCTTACGTTTCGTTTTGGCTAGAAGGTACATTCCCTGCGTAACAACATTCCCCTGAGTAACTAGTCTTGCATTTAGCCTTGGCTAGAAAATATACCCCTGTATAACAATGTTCCCCTGTGTTACACCATTTCCCCTGTGTACCGCATCTTAGACTACTGTCAGTTTTGAGTCCCCCCTGTCGCCCCCCGGTACCTGTGGAACTCGTTGGTGTCGTCGGTGTGCGCGTGGTGCGCGGCGGGGGGCGCGGGCCAGGCGGGCGCGGCGAGGCAGGTGCGCAGCCGCCGCAGCACCACGCCGAACAGCGACAGGCCGCAGCACAGCCGCTCGCGGGTCAGCAGGTCGCCCTCGCGCGACAGCTGACCTTGCTGGACACATGGGACGCGGGTAGATACACTTTATATTAGCTTCACTTGTATGTATGTTTGTCGTGTTGAAGTCGTCGTGGCCTAACGGATAAGACGTCCGGTGCATTCGTGTAGAGCGATACACCGGTGTTCGAATCCCGCAGGCGGGTACCAATTTTTCTAATGAAATACGTACTTAACAAATGTTCACGATTGATTTCCACGGTGAAGGAATAACATCGTGTAATAAAAATCAAACCCGCAAAATTATAATTTGCGTAATTACTGGTGGTAGGACCTCTTGGGAACCCGCGCGGGTAGACTGTAAGTTACAACGGCTGCCCCACCCTTCAAACCGAAACGCATTACTGCTTCACGGCAGAAATAGGCGGGACGGTGGTACCTACCCGTGCCGACTCACAAGAGGTCTTACCACCAGTAATAACGCATTACCATTTTGCGGGTTTCATTTCTAATTTAGTTCAATAAATGGTTTTTGTATTATTTGTGTGTTATTGAGGTCGGTTTTGAGGTCGACCTTATGCGGCCTCAACTCACCTTGGCGGTGCCGTACTTGTCGACATTATGGACGATCTGTAGGGACGCGTACTTGGCCTCCAGACGTTTCTGTTTTGATTCGGGCTTATCACCGTCTGCAACTAAAAACAGGGGTCTAGCGATCACCGGAGTCCATGGGCATCACGACCAATTAACTCTAGCTCCAAATTAAGAGAAACTGATGTTTCTATGCCTATACATCCCCTAGTAGCCTCAAGTGGTGGGTCTTCTTTGTGAGTGATGGATGAGCTTACCAGCTCGACTTGAAAGGACTTGCTAACACCAGACCTAACAAGAGCAGTGCTTCGCAGAATCTACCACCGGATCAGAAACGCGACCCACTGAGAAGATCCGGTGAGAAACTCATCGGGCTGTGTCTATGGGTTAAAGTTTCATGGAGAACAATGATCGGTGCTTGGAGAGCTTTTAAGCTCCGAAAGTGGATCGAAAGTCGAATATACTTATGTGCTGTTAGACCGTGAAATGAAATGGGAGTTTTTAAAAGAGAAAGTTTATTTTACACGCAATACTTTAGTGCAAGAGCTCTTTATAAAGGATCTGAGTGGACTGATTGACTGGTTTACCCAGTCTAAGCTTTTACCCGGACCATCTGGTCAGCGATCAGCATAGCGTTATAACAGTACTTTTAAATATATGTATACATAAATAGACATAAGATGTACAGGAAAAGACCAAAGGAACCTGTTCATCATCAGCCCAGCAAAGTCCTTATTCTCTTATTTACCTCTTCAATATACAACGCGTGTTTGCTTCGCGGTAGAAATAGCCCAGACGGTGGTACCGACCCGTGCGTGCCCGCAATTTACCCTACCATCCATTCTCCATCGAGAAATGAGGGGTGCTATTCTATACATCCCAAACATATCTATACACATATAAATAAAATTAGAGTGTCTGTTTGTAGTATTGAAATAACCGCTTTTTACTACATGCATATGAATATATGTACGGTACATAGACCAAAGTAATATAATTTTTGTCGGTCTGTTTGTTCCGACTAATCTCTACAACGGCTGGACCGATTTTTATGAGACTTTCACTAATAGGTAGCTGATGATATAAGGAGTAACTTAGGCTACTTTTCTTAGACTAGCTTCGCCCCGCGGCGTCACCCGCAGTTATTATCGTACCGCGCGCAACATGGCGGGACTCGCCTATCAATAATAAAATTTAATGTCTCCGAAGCGAAGCGAGGGCGGGTCGCTAGTTTGTAATACGGTGTATCGGAAGTCGAACAGTCCCTGCCCGCTACCTACCTGTGCTGTAGGGACGCGGCAGAATGTTCTGGAAGGGCGCCGCGTGGAGCAGATCCGTCACCTCCTCTTGGCTTAAAGCCTGTAAAGATTGTCAGAGAGGTGACAGTTTAGAAGCTGCTGGTATCTTGTAAGATATGCGGAAGAAAGCTCAGAGGCAGTGGTCCAATGCGCTGACCAGACCAGGGATGCTCTACTCTCAGCTCTTGAGTCCAGGGTGTCATTCGCATAGCCCAGTCAGGGCTGATAGTCCAGGAAAGAGTTATTAAAAGAGGCCACGACCCTCAACATTGAGGATTATCGACACAAGAAGATCCTTTCGTCAATATAAGCCGTTAAAAATCATTGGCGATGGAACGTCCTTTGAACCTGCCCGGGTCGGTACCTCTGCCCCGCTTATTTCTGCTGCGAAGCAGTAACGCATTCCGGTTTGTAGGACGAGGCATCCATTAATCCCATACTGACGTCGTCATGTCTATGGCCTGACACAACTTTACGTCGTATGCTCTTTTTGTTTTTTTATTGCTTAGATGCTCACAGCCCACCTGGTGTTAAGTGGTTACTGGAGCCCGTAGACATCTACAACGTAAATGCGCCACCCACCTTGAGATATAAGTTCTAAGATCTCAGTACAGTTACAACGGTTGCCCCACCCATCAAGCCGAAACGCATTACTGCTTCACGGCAGAAATAGGCGGGGTGGTGGTACCTACCCGCGCGGACTCAGACCTCCTACCACCAGTTGAGCTGGTCGACTGGCTCGCCTGAAAGCTTGCCGGCTCCACTGACCTGCTCGATCAGCATGCAGAACAGGATGATGTTCCCGAGCTCCCTGAAGGCGTGGAACAGCTCCGTCTTCGCGTCGGGGTACTGCACGATGTCCGTCAGCTGCGCGTGGTAGTAGCCCAGCACGCCTGCAGACCACACGGACTTAGAGGGGGGCAGGGGGGACCACGACGACACCACGTGGGTTAGGTCGATGGACTAAGGTTTGTGTGTGCATGTGTGACGTATATGTAATGTGTTAACTCTGTCGATCTCAAGCCCGGATGAGAAAAGAGGAGGTCTGAGCTGAAGTTCGACCTTTCCACCGTAAAACTGTCAACACCGAATGTCTGACGCCGGTTATCAGGCCGGACCAGAATAAGGCTTCAGGCTATTTTCCCAAGAGGCCCTCACGAGGCCACGACCCTCAGCATTGAGGTTTATAGACGCAAAGGCGGAGGATGTAAGGTGTGGTGTGTGTTTCTGTAGCGATGTTGCCCATGTATATAGAAGAGGATAGGGCCCACCTAATGATAAGTGATTCCTATCGCTCGTGGGCCTCAGCAATGCCAGGGGCATAGGGAGGCCGCCCCCTACCACTGTGCACAGGATGTCTCAACGTACCATTGGAGCCGTAGTCGTATCTGGGCAGGCGGCAGTGTCGCGGCAGCGCGGCGAGCAGGGCCCGCGTGAACTGCGCCAGCGAGCCGTGCAGCAGTCCACGGGCCACACCCAGCAGCTCGCCCACCACCACGGCCACGCCCTGGTAGCCCAGCAGCCGGACCAGCGCGTGCAGGTGCGCCGCCCCCACGAACCCTGCTCGGCGCGACAATCTCTTCCGTGAGCTTCAATTCTGATAAGTCTTTCTGGACACAGGGTGCTTAACGCGAGTTTTCGTGACGTTCTCGATCGCGTTAAAGTTAACTGATTTTTTTTATTGCCCTTGTAAGCAGACTAGCACACGGCCCACCTGATGGTGAGTGGTTACCGTCGCCCATGGACTTCAGCGATGCCAGGAGCAGAGCTAAACCGCTGCCTACCTCACTGCCTTTACGCACCAATGTGTCAATACTGAAGGAGCTTAATGTCAAAACGAGCCTCTCGACAATATACATTCGTAGAGTATTGGAGTCTTTTGCTCGAAAGGAGGGCCACAGTCTTGAGCAGCTTATGGTGACGGCAAACGTCCCAGAGGAAGCAGTCCCACGGGACGGTCGGACCAAATTCGTCTGGACATTAAGCTCCACGATGCACTCCACGAGGCCAAGGATCGCAGCAGATGGAGAACGACCGTATAAGAGAGGTTGATGCAGCGGGCGAGTCACGACCCGGAGTTAGCAATGAGGAAAATGGGTATGGAGTTAAAATAACGTTCCTACATTTGCCGCTAGGGGCGCTGTTAAAGCTCCATACAAATTCGAGTTAACTTTAACGCTTTCGAGAACGTTACAAAAACTTGCTGAAGTCGTCGTGGCCTAAGAGATAAGACGTCCGGTGCATTCGTGTTGAGCGATGCACCGGTGTTCGAATCTCAGGCGGGTACCAATTTTTCTAATGAATTACGTACTCAACAAATGTTCACGATTGGCTTCCACGGTGAAGGAATAACATCGTGTAATAAAAATCAAACCCGCAAAATTATAATTTGCGGAATTACTGGTGGTAGGACCTCTTGTGAGTCTGCGCGGGTAGGTACCACCGCCCTGCCTATTTCTGCCGTGAAGCAGTAATGTGTTTCGGTTTGAAGGGCGGGGCAGCCGTTGTAACTATACTGAGATCTTAGAACTAATATCTCAAGGTGGGTGGCGCATTTACGTTGTAGATGTCCATGGGCTCCAGTAACCACTTAATACTAGGTGGACTGTGAGCTCGTCCACACATCTAAGCAATAAAAAATTAAAAAAACTTGCACTGAGCAAACTGGAAATTTAACTGAAGACCTGAATCGCACTAGCGATATCTCCGTGTACACCCAAGTTCCGAAGCGTCCGTCTACCGAACGATTTCACCTTGTCGAGTCTGTTGTTGGTAGATACATGACAGATGCCTCAATCTTACCCAGGACATTGTCAATGCTTGCACGTGTACAAGTCCCCCTCGGTCCCCCACCTGTCCCCCCCGGTCCCCCTTACCCACCGTTGTACTGCGTGTACTGCGCGGAGTACACGAGGCTGAGCTGCTTGGAGCCCCACAGCAGCGCGTGCCCGTACTGTTGCGGGCGCTCCCGCTGCACGTTGGCCGCGAACTGGATCCCGCGGCACTTCACGAACCTGCAAGGGAATCCGTCGCGGGGGACCGCTGTAACTTCCTTTCCCACTTTCTTTTTGGAACGAAGTTCCTTATGGGACGATGCGGTACCCTAACCGGGAAAAAACGTCCGTAACGTAAGATTTTTATTGATAATGCACGCAGTGTGCGACTTAACTTTGTAATAACATACAAAAAATAACATATTTTTTTATCATTCATTGACCACGATCCAGAGCGTTCGTTTGCGCAATACACTAACTCTTATGCAAACAACCGTGAATGAAGTGTACCACAATAAGTTCGCACGTTACCGAATGACCGTGGGTTGTTGCGAAGCCACTTAAAATTAATAGAACTTAAAATGAATATCTTTATAATGAATATCTTTATAATATATACAGTCAAACCTGGGTAAGTGAGAACTGGATAAGTGAGAAAACTCTATAAGTGAGAGTAATAGCCAGGACCCGTCATTTTAAGCTCCCAAAACCTCTATTAGCGAGAAACAGAAACCTCTGTAAGAGAGAGTCGTTTTTCCCTCATGGACCTCCGTGAGTGAGACTGCTACTTAACTATACCTCTATAAGTGACAGTGGAGCTTTATTTATTTATATTATTTAGGAGGAATAAATGAAAAAACAAATTACAAATTTAACATCTGCGAAGGAAAGTTCTGTTCTGCATCATGTCAAAACGGAAAATTAAAGTACTGTCATTATGTGATAAACTTAAAATAGTTAATGCGTTTGAATCCGGAAAATCGCGAAATGAAGTTCAGAGGGTGCATTAAGGAGAAACTCGGGTTAGTGAGAAACCTCTATAAGCGAGAATAAGATTGTGCTCCCTTGAACTCTCGCTTATCCAGGTTTGACTGTATTAACTTCTTTCCTATCCGGTGTCCCACGACACCACACGTCTTTATAATATTTTATTTAAATTATAAGTTGCAATATTACTGATGGTAGGACCTCTTGTGAGTCCGCACGGGTAGGTACCACCACCCTGCCTATTTCTGCCGTGAAGCAGTAATGCGTTTCAGTTTGAAGGGCGGCACAACCGTTGTAACTATATAGAGGCCTTACAACTCATATCTCGAGGTGGTCGCGGCATTAACGTTGCTGCTGCCCATGGGCTCAATTAGGCACTTGACATAACACTGGCTCACCGCGCCGTCGCAGCGTTGTAGCAGTAGTTCGGCAGGAAGTCGTAGTTGAGCTCCCAGAAGACGTGCAGCGTGACCCTGCCGTACGGGGCCAGCACGCCGTGGTCCGACTCCCGCAGCACCGCCTCGAAGTCATCCAGCGTCAGGTAGCGGCTGAGCAGCTTGTGGCAGAGACGGTTCACCGCGATCAGCCCCTCCAGCTCCTGGGGGCGAGGGGCGTGCGGCGGTCAGTACGCGCGAGGGGGTTGGGGGGGACAGGCGTGACGTCACGGGGCCGCGACTCACCACCACGCCGGTGATGTCCCCGGCCTCGAACTTCGCTATGGCCGCGTCCAGAGCACGGTGCATGTCCGAGTTGATACGCTGGGCCACCTGGGGACATTCAGAATTTCACATGAAGTTTGAGGTCGCCCACTCGTGTCTCAAAATGGATGAAGCAATGTACGTCAACGTACGATTGGTGACGCGCGGGTAGTACAAACAAGTCAATCATACGAAACGTGTTATTTATTTTTTATTGCTATCTATCTATTGCACTAAACGACCTGGTGTTAAATGATTACTGGAGCCCATAGACATCTACAAAACGTAAATTCGCCACCCACCTTGAGCTATTAGTTCTAAGGTCTCAGTATAGTTTTTTTTATTGCCCTTGTAGGCAGACGAGCATACGGCCCACCTGATGGTGAGTGGTTACCGTCGCCCATGGATTTCAGCAATGCCAGGGGCAGAGCCAAGCTGCTACCAACCGTTAAACAACTTACAACGGCTGCCCCGCCCTTCAAACGCCTTACTGCTTCACGGCAGAAACAGGCGGGGTGGTGGTGCTTACCCGCGCGGACTTGCAAGAGGTCTTACCAGCAGTAATTACCCAAATTAGTGTATTTGCGGGTTTAGTTTAGTTACCAGCGCGCAGAGGTCGACGTGCCGTCCCAGCAGAGCCACGTGCCGCTGCTTGAGTAGGGAGGCGTACCGGCCTGGACCGACACCCACGCCCGCGCCTCGCGACAAGCACTCGGCACGGTAGCGCTTATCCAGTAGCATGCTGAGGACAAAACCCGAAATTAACGCGACGAAAAAATGATCTTCGAACACGCAATGTAACGCGAAGCCGGCTCGCGTGTGGGAACGCCAGAGCATTGACGCAACTTTTTGGCGGGAACGCGAAGAGTGAAGTTGCATGATTTGTTTTATTTTGTCTATTTAGTGTTTCTTCAGCTTTAAATGTGTAATAATGGTAGTTTATTACGGTTTTTTGCGGTAGGCAGCGGCTTGGCTCTGCCCCTGGCATTGCTGAAGTCCATGGGCAACGGTAACCACTCACCATCAGGTGGGCCGTATGCTCGTCTGCCTACAAGGGCAATAAAAAAAAAGTTTATTAGCTGTTTAGTATCTGTGAAAGTGCACAAATGTGGGAAAATGAAACAAAGCCGCTGAACGTAACTTCTCGGGATCCTCCAAAAAGTCCACTGAATAGATCTCAGCAAATGACCACCATTTTAGTGAAATTATATTTCATCCCATATCATCTCATCACATTTCATTTAATTTCATCCCAGTTGATTAATGTCTCAAATTAATCATCTTCATTTCATTTCATTTCACATTATTATTTTTCATAAAAATAAGAATATAAATTAAAATAACACATGACTTAAAGGTCTTAGTTAGTCAAAGTCAGGTCATAAAATCCGTTAAAAAAAAAAGAGCTATGATCTTCGCGACTTCATCAAAAAACCTTTGACCAGACGTGAAGTACCGCTTCGCTCTATTGAGTTTTCTGAGTAAACAGCACACCTGGTGTTAAGTGGTTACTGGTGCCCATAGACATCTACAACGTAAATACGCCACCCACCTTGAGATATAAGTTCTAAGATCTCAGTATAGTTACAACGGCTGCCCTACCCTTCAGACCGAAACGCATTACTGCTTCACGGCAGAAATAGGCAGGGTAGTGGTACCCACCCGCGCGGACTCACAAGAGGTCCTACCACCAGTAAACCTAAGTGACCCAGTAACTCCTAAGTTTCGACCACAAATGACGTCACCCGTAACCAAGCCACGGGGGTCCGCCCCCCCCCCCCCCGGTCCCCGCACTGACCTGGCTGCCAGCTGCTTGTAGTACGCGTAGACCTGCTCGGAGAGCTTGTACACGAACTGATCGAAGCAGAGGTTGACTTCCGCCTCCACCTCGTCATACAGGAACTGCTTCTTGAAGACGGTCAGCGCGTACTGGGCTGAGTCGTTGTACAGGTCCAGCGGGTACAGGACGTATCTGAGGAAATTACGCATTAAAGTTTTTATTGGGGTACCATTTTATTAGGTGACTAAAAATTTTAATAAAACGATACTACTTTGAAAAGATTGAGTAAAATAAGCCAAAATAATGGACAAAAAAGGAAAGTTAAAAAATTAAAAAGCTACATAAAAAGATACATTAAAGTAATAAAAAAATAATACATAAAAATGTAATTACAGAAAAGAACTACATAAAAATTACACCAAAATAATACATACAAGGTTAAAATTAAAGACATAAAAGAACTACATAAAAAGAAACATTAAATTAATCAAAAATAATACATAAAAAAGGTAAAGACAGAACTACTTTAAAAAGGATTCACTAAAATAATTAAAAATATACTCTAAACTACTCTACATAAAAAGATACATTGAAAGACCACTAACTCCATCATCGCCGGTTCTTTGGTCCTTAATATGTGCTCGGTCAATATCCATGGCATGGACATCTCGATGGGGAACTGTATCCGCTTCTCCATCGTGACCAGGTCGTTGCACTCCTCGTTGTGCTGATGACGCACCATGCATTTCTGTGAGGGTAGATTGATATTTTTAAAAATTTTTAATTCATACTTTATTGTCCTTCATAATCCTATATGGCGTATTAACAAAAGGCAAAGGTTAGGGTGGCAGTATAACAGATTGTTTGGTCCACGGGCCGCAGTAGTCACTTAAAACCAGATCGGCTGTTTACTCAGAAAACTCAACAGAACGAAGCGGTACTTCACGTTTGGTCAAAGATATTTACTTTACAAAGCACAGAACCGGCCTCGCGTGGAGTACTACTCCGATATGTGAACAGGGACTCCCGAGTATCAGCTGTTTCCATTTGACATCCAGAGGAGGACCCTTCAGATTGACGATAACCCTGTTTGAAAAGTCTAGGTCTAACGAAGGGCCTTCAGATTCATTGTTGTGTTCTGTACCGTGGGTACCATAGAGAATTCTATGAGGACCCAGCGCCCGTCCCCCCATCAGAACAGAGTTCATCCATACCACCAAGACCCACTGCGTTCACCCACATTGCGTTTCCAGATATCTTTTCTGCCTTAGCTGTGCCCCTGGCATTGCTGAGGTCCAAGAGCGACAGTGGCCACTCATCGTCATGTGGACTTTATGCTCGTCTACCTATAAGAGTAATTTAAAAAAAACAGCAACAAAGTAGGGTAGGTAAATAAATGCCAGTACTCACATTAACTTTCTTTCCCATTGTCATTTCGAGATAAAACTCTCTATACCAGAGTTGAGACAGATCGCAGCACTTCTGCAGGGAATCTGCGAGGACACAATGAATATCAAGCGCGGCACACATATGACTGTAAGCGATCCGCCCTCGAAAACGGCGACACACATTTAACAGAATCACCATAGAACGTATAACTTAGTGATGTTTTCACGCAGCAAGTAATGTAATGCAAATATAGGTGAACACACGCGGGGTCGACGACCTCGCGTTAGTCCGCTTACATTGCGGGCTGTTTGTGTTTAGTTTATTAGTATCCGGATCAATAAAGGAACATAGTTTATTATAATCAATAATGACTGACTAAGTATGTATGTCAGTCTCTGATACCCATAAATTAGGATCTGATGACTGTGCGTGATTAGTTTCCAGTTGTTTATTATTTTATTAATAATAATTCTAATTTACTATTACAGCGGTAAGTAGATCTTGGAAACGCGCCGGTAGATTTTCATTATTACTTGAATATATCCTAAGAACGACTATATTTTAAATTAAGTTTAAATTTAAACTCGAATGAAGGTATCCATAATTGTGCAAATTTTTTGGACAAACTACCCTACACAATTTTAAACACACGAATAACGTATCACAAGATGGCGCCATCCTAGAAATACTCAATTTAGACTCACCAGGTAAGTTCAGCAGGTAGGCCCAATAAAAGCTGGTTCTGTGGAAGCTTTCGATCTGATGCAGGGTGGCTGCGTCCAGGTCTTTCCGAAGAGTCCGCCGGCCTCCGGACTTGTCCGATATGAGGGCCTCAAGCTGCGTTCTCACCATGTAGAGCTGGGTCGATGAGGGACCTTCGAAGATTCAATTACCAGTGAGTATCAGCATGAGTACCAGCACTCTACCTACTTCTGCCGCGAAGCTGTCATCCTTGTCTTTTTGAAAGGTTGACACAACTGCGAAGACTCATGTCTCAAGGCATTCACGACATCTCACTAATATTATATGCGAATTTTTTTACCAGTGGTAGGACCTCTTGTGAGTCCGCACGGGTAGGTACCACCGCCCCGCCTATTTCTGCCGTGAAGCAGCAATGCGTTTCACCAAATGCGCCACCCACCTTTCTAAGGTCTCAAGTATAGTTACAACGGCTGCCTCTCCCTTCAAACCGAAGCGGACTCACAAGAGGTCCTACCACCAGTAAAACTGAACCAGTAGTACTGAAGCGTCACAATTAACAATTAATCAATTGTTGTATTTAATTGTACCTTGCAATTAAATTTTGCTTAGCACTGTCCCCCGGTCCCCCCTTACCGACATTCCTCCTGGGCACCTTGATGGTGAAGCTGGCTTCGCCGTCCTTCTTCCCCTTGAGCGCCGGGTCCTGCTGAGGCTCGCAGCCGCGCGCCCAGTCACCGCACGTCTCCCGAACCGACACTATTATGCTGTGGAAGACTTATAACTGTGTTTCCATACCTATACTCCATTCCAATTAAGAAGTCCCGTTTGACAGATGTTATTATTATTATTTTTTCTCTACCTATGCTGATAGCCTTGAGAGGTTATATCAGCTTCGCCCTAACTTATAAGTTAGCTCACGGGGCTCAAACCGGTGTGGTGCTAACATTAGCCCTACCAAGAGCAGTGTTTCGTAGAATCTACCACCGGATCGGAAACGCGACCCACTTAGAAGACAATGACAAGTACAAGCCAATCAGTTACGCTCAACTGATGTTCAAATGGCGTACCTCCGGATGAGGTCCTTCTTGTTCTTGATGGCCTTCCTCAGAGGCTCCCGCAGCACGAGCTGCACGAAGTCCTGCAGCTCCGCGTATATGGACCTCCTGGCCGCGTCCGCGAACACCGTCTCCATCCGCGCCATCAGGACCTGGAGGCCCTTTATCATCGCGATCACCTCGATCATGGCGAACTTCTCCTCGGACGTGTAGTTGTAACGCGTCGCCTGTGAACACACGGTTTGAGGTCAGGGACGACTCAATTTTGAAGTCGCCTAAGTGGGTACCGGGGTCCGTGGACATCTACAACGTAAATGCGCCACCCACCTTGAGATATAAGTTCTTAAGATCTCAGTATAGTTACAACGGCTGCCCCACCCTTCAAACCGAAACGCATTACTGCTTCACGACAGAAATAGGCAGGGTGGTGGTACCTACCCGCGCGGACTCACAAGACGTCCTACCACCAATAATATTACCTACTACCAACAATATTGAGGTCGCATAAGCGGGTACCGGGGCCCGTGGACATCGTCAACGTCTGCCGTTGCCGGTCTCGAATGCCGTCAACCACATTGAGATATGAGTTCTAAATTTCAGTTCTATGTACTATTCTGTACTTAGATCCAAGATCTTAGAATTCGGTTGCGTCATTACTACCGATGACCATGGACATCAGAACGTGAATGCCACGTTTCAAGATAAAATGCTGTAATATTCTGGAATAACCTGGAATAGCACGATTACTTCATCATGATAAATGACATGCCTTGGGCAAAGCCATATATGTAAATAATATGGTATTAGTATTTTATAGTTTTGGCATAATATAGTGCTGGCATAATAAAGTGTTGGCATCAGTGTTGGCATAATAATATAGTGTTGGCATAATAATATAGTGTTGGCATAATATAGTGCTGGCATAATAAAGTGTTGGCATCATAGTGTTGGCATAATAATATAGTGTTGGCATAATATAGTGTTGGTATAGTATAGTGTTGGTATAGTATAGGGTTGGGATACTATAGGGTTGGGATACTATAGTGTTGGGATACTCTAGTGTTGGGATACTCTAGTGTTGGGATACTATAGTGTTGAGATACTATAGTGATGGGATACTATAGCGTTGATATAATATAGTGCTGGTTTAATATATTATTGGCATAATATAGTATTAGCATAACGTAGTATATTAGCAAAGTTTCGTCTCTATTGGACGGACGGACAGAACGCACCCTCTCGTACTCCTCGGCTTCGGGGGGACACCGCGCGTTGATGGTGTGGTCCGTCGGGTGGAGCAGCTTCCACGAGCACAGCTCCGTGAGCACCGAGCACCAGGAGGACAGCAGCTGCAGGCCGCGCAGACAGAGCTCCGTCACCGCCTTGTTCTCGGAGTCCGAACCCGCCTCTTTGAAAGTGGTCGTCACCTGGAACACGCAGACATGGGGATGTTCTTGTTGCCTCACTGTTTTTTTTCCTACCTAAGCTGATAGCCTTGATAGGCTATATCAGCGTTACCTTAACTAGTAGGTGAGCTCACGGGGCTCAAACCTGATGACGTTCCTAACACGAACCCTAGCAAGAGCCGTGCTTCGCAGAATCTACCACCGGCTCGGAAATGCAACCCACTGAGAAGATCCGGCGAGAAATTCAGTGGGCTGTGTCTGAGGGTTAATTTACTCGTCGAGCCCTTCGTCGCAAGCGACGGGTTCGACGAGAACGATGACCGGCCTCACTGATAAGCAGTGGTCGGTGTAGGTATATTGATTTTATATACTTGCGTCAAGATATTATAATATGGACATGCCATTTTATCTATAATGATTATATTTAAAATTAAAATAAAAAAAAATTAATCCTCATCGGATACAATTCGTGTATTTATGAGATAAAGTAACAAAAAGCCGTGTCTAAGTTTTGTCTCATATTGACAAGCGTCATTTCTAATTCAACGGAAAGGGACAAAATACGGTAAATATTCCAAGGTGTTTTTGTATAAAATAAAATACTGATTTCTTTCACCATTAGCTAGCACTGGTAGCGTAGATTAATATTATTAATACGTTTTTCACCTTAAACACAGATTCGTGCTAATTTCAAAATTCCGGAACCAATATCAGAATAAATATGAAGTTCCGGTATTTTGGAGGCATATCCATATCATACTCTACGTTTGACGTAAACAACCTTAAATCAATCTACCTACTCCGATCTTTACTGATAAAACAGCTTAATCTTCTAAGGTGCAATATCTCCACACGATACCTCGTTGCTGTACCGGGCCAGCTCGGATATGTAGTTCTGATGCTCCTCCCGGATCTGGGGCAGGTGGACCATCAGGTCGGCCTGCGGCGAGGGCGGGTTGGGGCTCGAGGACAGCGGCCACCTGCGGCAACGAAGAGTTCACGTTCAGATTATATTCTTATGGGTGGACTAGCTCGCTGATGTTAAGTGGTTACCCGAGCTAACGGCCGTAGGTTTAGATCAAAACTCACGAATACTTAAAAAAATATAGAATTATCACCATGAATGTGTTGGAATGTGTCTGATGTTTTGACTTGCATGTAAATTACCTAAAGAGTTAAGTGAACTGAAGGGGTATATGACGGAGCGGGCTGGCTGGTTCCATGGGATATTTAAAATGATGACATCAGCATCGCTGACGCCTTTCTCTTCATCATGATCATTGCCTTCCATGGTGATAGTAATTAAGGCTCACTTTTAGTAGTAGGTTCACTGCGATGTGCTATAGGTAAGAAACCTTCTGTTCCTACTTTTTGGTGTTTTTATATCCGTTTATTATCAGTTTTATGCTTTACATTTTGTTATTATTTTAAAACGTATAAGAAGAAAATTTTCATTTTCGAAATGTGAAAAATATTTTAAAAGATAAAACTCACTTATTCGGATCATAGTGTTTCGATCTCTTGATGTAATTGAAAGGAGCTATTTGCATGTCGCCAAACAGTGGAACCACTTCGAGGTTCTGAAAGAGAAAAAGAAAATTACAAAAAAATAACAAATTAAAAATAATAATAATAAGGATGAAGAAATCACGCACGATCCCTCGATTTCGGATCCCCTGTGTTATGGGCACCAGAGACTGACATACATACTTATATACGATTTAGGGGTGTTTTTAAAATGATGACGTCAGTATTATATAGTGACAGTAATTAAGACTCACTTTTCCAATGAATTCCATTTATTACATTTCAAGTGTACAGCGATATCAACAGAGAGCTCCGCTCTGTTCGGCTGCTCGAGCCAGCAGGGCTTTGAACAGTTCAATGGTTTTAATTGAACATCAATTAAGTTTACTCCATTCGAATAGCTGAAGAAGTGTCTTTGTATGTTGTATGAACATTTTTTCCAAAATTTTAAACGGCTCTCCTGTAAAGTGGCAATTATGACGCTTAAAGTAAATAACTTATCATCCTTCTTTTTCATCACCCCCGTGACCACTTAACATGTGCTTAACATGTGCATAAGCTGTGAGCTCGTCGCTAAGTTAGCGTCGCTGGCGGATAAAAACGAGTACCTTAAAGATCCTGTCGATGCGGTCCAGACGTATCTTCTTCTTCTGGTCCAAACGATTGATGTTGCACACCTCTGAGTCCATGAGGAAGAGTCCGAACCCCATAACCTGAAAAATAAAGTCAGGTAAAAACGGTAGGCAGCGGGTTGGCTTTTCTCCTGGCAATGTTGCCATCCGTGAGCGACGGTGAGCACTCACCATCAGGTGGGCCGTAAGCTCGTATGCCTACAAGGGCAATAAAAAAAAATCTCAATGTGGGTGGCGACATTTACGTTGTAGATGTCTATGGGCTTCGGTAAACACTAACACCAGGTGCTATGCAATAAAAAACTATAAAAAAAGCCCTGCAACCAAACAGGTGTCCTTACCTTCACAAGCATATGTTTTTCGCACGGAGTCAAATACATTCTTGTCTCGAACATGTGCACGCATATATTGACCACATCAGCCAACAAGTCTTCGTAACCTAAAAATCGATAAAAAAATAAAACATCAAACAATGAACGCAATGTATTACAAATATAAATGATGTGTTTGACGGGTCGATGACCTCATTCCGAATTCCCTTTACATTGATTGTTCAGAAATAATCAACTTTTTTTAGAATTTCGATTAAACATTCAGTGGTGGTGGCCGTATCGTGTGCCCCGACCCGAAGAAACCAGTCTTTCTGATAAGACCTCAAGCCTTGAGGTGCACGGCGGTACTATCATTACATCCTATATATGTGTCCATCGTCCTTTCGAAAGAATTACTACACACATACCGTTAATTTTCTCTAGGGCGTCCTTGACCGTGTCTCTGATCTTGTTCTGGGTCGCGAGGAACATGGACAGGTTCTGAGACTCCTGCAGGCTCTGACTGTCGGACATCACCTTCAGGAATTGCGCCGCCCTGGGAACGTATACGTATCCTGCTGAAGTTACGTTTTTGAAGTCGCCGTGGCCTAAAGGATAAGACGTCCGGTGCATTCGTATGTGGCGATGCACCGGTGTTGGAATCCCGTAGGCGGGTACCAATTTTGCTAATGAAATACGTACTTAACAAATGTTCACGATTGACTTCCAAGATGAAGGAATAACATAACCTGTAATAAAAAATTCATACCCGCAAAATCATAATTTGCGTAATTACTGGTGGTAGGTACGTCTTGTGTGCCGCGCGGGTAGGTACCGCCACCCTGCCTATTTCTGCCGTGAAGCAGCAATGCGTTTCGGCGGGACTGCCGTTGTAACTATACTGAGACCTTAGAACTCACATCTCAAGGTAGGGGTGCGGCATTTACATTAAGATGCCTATGGGTTTTCGTAACCACTTAACACCAGGTGGGCTGTGAGCTCGTCCACCCATCTAAGCAAAAACAAAAAACATATCCCCCACCTTCTGTAAGTCGAGTAATCATTCTTGACCGAACTCTTCATGTTCTTCAGCTCGTCGAGGACCGCGAACATGTTCACGAACTTGCCGAGGGTCAGGAGGTAGGCTTCGGAGACGAAGTCCCTCCTCTTCTCCGCGTGGCACAGCCGACGCACTTCGGCACAGAACCTTTCTATGGCCTTGCGCTGAAACAAAAATCGAAGTCAGCGGTTTGAAGGTTGGGACAGCCGTTGTAACTATACTGAGACCTTACAACTTATATCTCAAGGTGGGTGGCGCATTTACGTTGTAGATGTCTATGGGCTCCAGTAACCACTTAACACCAGGTGGGCTGTGAGCTCGTCCAACAATTGTTTGATTTGATTTGATTTGATTTGACTATTTGAGTCAACATGGTCTGCAGCAGTGACCTTGTGGATCAGGCCTTTGTTACTTAAAGCACACTAATGCTTTTGCTGATGTCCGGTATAAAGCTTAGATACATTAAACATGACGTTTGTCATCTCACTAACCTGGAAATACATGAACTGCAAGAGCTTATCAACCTCAGGAGCCAGGACTTGAACGGTCCTCTCGTATATGTGAACCCGGTCTGGTTGTTCGTTGGACCTGGGCTGAGGTATGGCACGGCTGCAGCAACGCCACGTGTACAGCATGACTGCGTGGGCATTTCCTTCTTCCAGGAGCTCGTTCTAGGAACCGATATGATCAATGAATTTGACATATGTCCCAAAGTAATAAGATTCAAGTGGCAGTGGGCAGGACACATTACTCATAGGGTTAATAGATCTCCCACAAGTCAGACCAATGACCTGTCGAATGTTGCAGGAATGCACGGTATGCCGATAGCATAGAACTGATCATTATGACAAAAACGTAGGTCTCGCAATCGACATCTTGAGGCTGTATAACAATAATAATATGTACAAAGTATAATTACTCACCAAGTTGGCGTGGACGGTCGCTTCCTCTATGTACTTTGCGATACCGGTGATGAAACCATTGCGGTCTTCAAAGTTAGTATCGAAATTAGCTTGATACAGGATTGAACAAGGTGCTGCTTCGATACATGGCTGTTCATCTTGAAAAACAAATACAGAGTTGTTTTGAACGGAAAGGGATGGTTCAATCCTTAAATTCTATATTTCATATGGAGAGACTATTGCACTAATAAAGGAGGGAGTAAAATTCACAGTAGAACTCTTATCAAATGATACACTTATGAATACAAAAAAATCCATTGTTAAAACTAATGACATGAAACTTCTTATAATTTAGAAGTAATGTTGTTATTTTTAAAAACTATAAAAATGGAATTACAGGTTTACTCAGAACTAATTAGTAGAGAAGCTAATTGTATATATATGTAGATGATAGGTCAATATTATCTTTTCATATTGGTTTTATCACCAGTTTCTATAGTCACACCTCCTCCCAAAATTAAAAATTTTATATGAAGGTATGAATTCCATAGAAGTAGTACTTGCATATTACTAAGTGAACTGACACAGTACATCTGGCATTAATTAGTTACAATATATGTGTTAATTTGTTGATTATAGTAAAAGTCATTGCCTTAACAATAAAGTTAAATAAAGTTAATTTGTACTTATTTATTATTTCATAATTTCAAATTTATGTGAATAAAATTCATAATTATGTTGTTTGGTCTAATCCTTTAGCTCAGTCAAACCTGTGAGTTAAAAAGTGAAGCAATACTAAAATTAGTGTCATGCCAGTATTTTCCAGAACTTAAACAAAAAAGCTTTGAGCTTTTACTGTGAAGACAGGTTCACACAATGTACAAGACCATTATTACTTATTTAATGACAAATAAATGAAAAAACAACATATAAACATAATAATTTCGTTATATTGGAATCTTAACAATGTTCCAATACCAACATTGAATTTTGGTTTTTCACAATGCCTAATACTATTTATCCATTCTTCTAACATATCAGGGTAGCTTCGAATTCACTTTTATATCAATATCAACTGAACCGCTAAGCAGCGAGCTTCCGGCCCCACCTAGTTTCATATCTGAATCAATGTATCAATCTCTAGCAATTTTATGAAAAAATACAACTTACCCGGCAAAGTCAGCTCATCCAACACATCTACGTTGCTCAGAGCATCCGATAACGACACTTTTTCACTTACAGACATTGCTTTTTTCACAATTATTTAAGTCGTAAAAATTCCTAAGCACGCACAGATAAACTGTGAATTTTGTCAATTCTGTAGTAATAATTGATGCAAAGAATGTATGGTATTATTAATTATTGCTCATTCTTGTACATTATCCTTTTTAGTGCAAAATCCTCGTTGTCTTAAAATTAAAGTGTTAATTTCTTGACGAACGATGTAAATACTAGACATGTGTAAGTAATAGACATGTGTAAGTAATGCGAGTGATATTACTCGGGTAATATTACTCTACGATGTAATGCAACATCACACATTACGCGAAGGAAACAAACATCACACTATCACCCAACATGTTTCTTTCTTTGTCGTGTAATGTTGCTTAATACACGAACGGAACCGAGCGAGCAAGACAGACCGATCGACGCAAAATAAATGAGCAAGCGACACGGAATTATTCCTAGTGATTTTGAACCGTATGTCCTGGCCGCTAGGTACATTTTTATACCTATGGTACGTCTGAATTTTAATATAGGTATTTGTGTTTATATTTTTCATGCGGCCAGCCGGTAGCTCCCCGCAAGTACTTACTTAATTTTTTATTCGCAACTTTTGTAAAATCGCTAGTCGCTCGTAATTGTTTAGTAATATTTCATATTAATTTTTGTGTTTGATTTGAATTACTTAAGCACTTGTTTGAAGATAGTTTTATTATTTGTTTTAATGCGTGTTTAATAAGTGAAAGAAATAACGGCGTCTAAATGAAAGTACAGTCCTCCTTGGATGCACTTTGAGGATATCGCGCCGAAACAATGCATCTACTGCTCTCGTATATTAACATTATTGTCGAGCTCAATTTGCAGTCTAAGTCGCCATATGAAATCCGTTCATCCCACAATAAATTATATTAAGTAAAAAATAAAATTATTATATTATTAAGTAAGTCAATCTGTCAAGTAATATAACAGTGTATTACAATACAAAGTTCATACTTTGTATTGTAATACACTACTGTAATGACACACCCGAATCATTACCTAAGTGATGTGTTTATACACATCACTTAGGTAATGATTGATGAAAACATTACACATCACTCTTAACATTACTCGGTGCGTTCAATAGATACTGTGACGACGAATACATTGTATCTATACACCCGAATCATTACCTAAGTGATGTGTTTATACACATCACTTTGAACGCACCGAGTAATGTTAAGAGTGATGTGTAATGTTTTCGAGTAATATCACCTATCTGTAAAAGTGATGTCATATCACATTACATTGGGAAGTGATGTTTTGCGCAAGTCTAGTAAGTAATGCGAGTGATATTACTCGGGTAATATTACTCTACGATGTAATGCAACATCACACATTACGCGAAGGAAACAAACATCACACTATCACCCAACATGTTTCTTTCTTTGTCGTGTAATGTTGCTTAATACACGAACGGAACCGAGCGAGCGAGACAGACCGATCGACGCAAAATAAATGAGCAAGCGACACGGAATTATTCCTAGTGATTTTGAACCGTATGTCCTGGCCGCTAGGTACATTTTTATACCTATGGTACGTCTGAATTTTAATATAGGTATTTGTGTTTATATTTTTCATGCGGCCAGCCGGTAGCTCCCCGCAAGTACTTACTTAATTTTTTATTCGCAACTTTTGTAAAATCGCTAGTCGCTCGTAATTGTTTAGTAATATTTCATATTAATTTTTGTGTTTGATTTGAATTACTTAAGCACTTGTTTGAAGATAGTTTTATTATTTGTTTTAATGCGTGTTTAATAAGTGAAAGAAATAACGGCGTCTAAATGAAAGTACAGTCCTCCTTGGATGCACTTTGAGGATATCGCGCCGAAACAATGCATCTACTGCTCTCGTATATTAACATTATTGTCGAGCTCAATTTGCAGTCTAAGTCGCCATATGAAATCCGTTCATCCCACAATAATTTATATTAAGTAAAAAATAAAATTATTATATTATTAAGTAAGTCAATCTCTGTCAAGTAATATAACAGTGTATTACAATACAAAGTTCATACTTTGTATTGTAATACACTACTGTAATGACACACCCGAATCATTACCTAAGTGATGTGTTGATACACATCACTTAGGTAATGATTCGGGTGTATAGATACAATGTATTCGTCGTCACAGTATCTATTGAACGCACCGAGTAATGTTATGAGTGATGTGTAATGTTTTCGAGTAATATCACCTGTCTGTAAAAGTGATGTCATATCACATTACATTGGGAAGTGATGTTTTGCGCAAGTCTAGTAAATACTGAATTTAGTAGGTAAATACTATGACAGCACAGCGTTAGTTTTTTTTTTTAAACTGCACTGGCCAACTGGCAATGGGAGTCTTTCCTATAATGTTGTTTTAAGAGAATAAAAATACATAACTTAAACCACAAAACATAAACGAAACTAACTTTGCATATGAATTTAATTATAGAATGTAATTAAATTAAACGAGGTAGATAGTATAAAACAAGAGGCTGGGTCTAGTAATTATATTACTTTTAATGCTTAATCTGGGCGCGATAAATTCGCATATAATATGGTTCTCGTCGCGTTAGAACCAACCGCCGAAGGCAAACGGATTGCCTCAAGCCTCCGCACCGTTTGCGGCTTATCCGGGGTCACCGTCGAGGCCCCATATAGGAAAGGCACTCCCGGGCAGTGCCACCGCTGCCAGCTGTACGGCCACTCCGCGCGCAACTGCCACGCGCGTCCGCGGTGCNAGAAAGATCCTGGAGTGGCGACCACGTACTGGCAAGCGCAGTGTGGGACGGCCACCTACTAGATGGACCGACGACCTAGTAAAAAGCGCTGGGTCTCGTTGGATGCAGGTGGCAATGAACCGGTCGCACTGGAAATCTATTGGAGAGGCCTATGTTCAGCAGTGGACGGCGATAGGCTGAAATGATGATGATGATGATGATAGGGTTCGTATTAGCAACGTCGTCAGGTTTGAGCCCCGTGAGCTCACCACTAGTTAAGGTTACGCTGATATGGTATCTCTAGACCATCAGTTTAGGTAGGAAAAAAAAAAATCGCGCGGCGCGGGCGCTAGGAGGAAGACAGCGGCGCGGGGTTGCCGTTCGACACCGTGTGCTTCAGCACTTCGTGCAGCAGCGCTCGCGGTTGGCGGTCAGGTCTCAGTATAGTTACAGCGGCTGCCCCACCCTTCAGACCGAAACGCATTACTGCTTCACGGCAAAAATAGGTAAAGCGGTGGTACCCACCCGTGCCGAATCACAAGAAGTCCTACCAGTAATCACGTTTCGAATTATTACTTCATATAATGATGGATTCGTAGTATTATTATAAACATACCGTTAATGGTTTTTTATTACTTAAAGTAGACGGCCAAATGAGCTACAGCTTTAGTGATTAACGGAGCTAAGAGAAACTGCTATGCTGAATAGATGCGCCTTGTTTTCGAATATAAGAATTAGGGAGAGAAGGAGTGGAGGTTTGGGTAAAATTACTACTATGGTCAGGATAATGTAGAAATAGTAGATCGCCAAGGTCAGATTTTTCTATTTTATCATGAATAATATTGTAAGCTATTTCTCCTAAGTGCCTTTGAAACCCATAAACTAAATATTTGACGAAAAATAGTTTTTTACGAGAGTACTCAATAAAGTACAATAAAATAAGAACCTAAGTAAAATAACTTGAATAATGGTCCGGCTTAAGTGAGTTTCGCGTTTAAACCGATCTGGCACGCTCAAGTTTTGTCGCAAAGCTTCGCTCTTAAGTTTCGAAGATTTTATTGTTTTCAAATAGACATAATATTCAGTAAATATGTTCTTATCCGCTAGCCGCTGTGGTCTGATATAAATATTTCTATTGAGGTAAGTTGGTAGATACTTAGCTTATGAAGCATATGTAAAGACTGTCTCACTTGAGGCGTGGTTTCCAATTTTGTCCAGCCCTGCAGACCGGACCGCTTAAACTTCACTACATAAATGCGAGGGATGGCGGAACATATGGATATAAATGGATTTATTATATGCATCGGAAATTAAGGAGGGATTTGGAAACAAGAAGATGGTTAAAGTAATTTGTGTATATGAACAAATAGAACGTACTAGCAGTAACTGGAGGTAGTCGATGTGGCATATCGCGCTCCATTGAAGAATATATTATCTGACTATTTTCGGTGTAGGATTCCCGGATCCCAAAAAGCTGAGTTAAGTTTTGTTCAATAAGGTATAAACAATTATAGAGCCTCATCTCATTGTTTTAAGAAAACTGTCAATGAATGTTGTAAAACAAAGCGTATTAAGCGGTCTTTTACTACTACCCGCTTACTCTTGGTCATTCTTGTTGACAGTAGCTATAGCCAACAACCGTTTATTTTTTTAAGGCTCACAATGCATTTCATGTTTAACGATTTTCGTACTATTTTCGGATATTTGCAGTACAATGTAAATGCGGTCTATCTTGAGATTTGAGGTCGAAATCTAAATTGTATGGTGAAACAACTACCCCATCCTTACAATCAGAATGCATTATATCCAAGTAGACAGGTGGTACCAACTCGTATGAGCTTGCAAAATGCCTTACCAGTCCAGTAATAGTCAGAAAATGTTGCTATCCATAAAAAGACACACGCCGAATTTGTTTTGCAAGTCCCTCTTAAAAATACGGTGCTTCTTGGACGACTTAAAACCAATCATTGAAGATTTTAATAATCACTACTCTTCGAATTTATATTGTAGTCTTAGATCAAAGCCTGTCTGGTATTCAATAGAATTTAATTTAAATACGTTACGTAATAATACTTTATTGAAATTACGTAAATACAATGAATAGTTTCGCTTGCACGGTACAGAGGAAGAACGAAATTGAATAATGCTTCAGGAACCGTTTGAGTAACCTTTGACGCGAACAACTTCCACACACACCGATGTGTAATCGAAGGGGATTGAGATTTTGATGTAAAACATCTATAGCCGCGCGTAAAACCGATTTCTGGCGTGGCGACG